TGTTAGCACGGAGCCTGATGTGGAACTCAATCCCACGAACCATGAGATCATGACCTGAGTGGAAATCAAGAGTCGGATATTCAACCGACTGAGCCACCCAGGCACCCCCCACCCCGAAAATATTCTTAAGTGAAAAAATTAATGAACTAGGTTTGCACTTCATCCACTGGTTCTTCTATGCCAATCAGAGGTGACTCTGCCTGGTCCACAGTTAACCAAACATCCCAGCTCCTATCTCCAGCCAACACCAAACACAGGAGGGACTGACGGACCCTGAAAGTGCAGGGCATAGGTGATGTCATCACCCTGGTGTTCTCCATCTCCAGGCTACGTTCCCAAGCCAGTCCACAAATCAGAGTCACCAGCCTCTAATGGATTACAGAGGTTTTCAAAGAGTGGGAGGTCACACAGGCGTCCAGGCAATTAAAAGGATTCTGGGTGGCTCAGGGGGTTAAGCGTCCGACTCTTGATATCCGCTGAGGTTGGGATCTACAGATTGTGAGACCGAGCCCCACATCAGGCTCCTCACTGAGCAGGGAGCCTGCTTGGCAGTGAGTCTCTCTCTCCCTTGCTCTCCATCCCTCTGCTGCTTGTGCTCTTTGTCAAGAATGAATGAATGAATGAATGAATGAATGAATGAAGAAAGGGAAAAAAAGAGAAAGGGAAAGAGAAAGAAAGAGGAAAAGAAAAGAAAAGAAAAGAAAAAGAAAAAAAGAACCCCAACAACTTCTCCTCGAGGAGAAATGTCTGCAGCCACTTTCACACGTGCCATTTCTACTCCAACCTTCGAGACTCTTTGGAGCTTATCTTTGTTTAAAGGTTTCTATTTACCAAAAAAAAAACCACAAATCATTTGGATTATTATGTATTAGTCCAGTTTATTAAATAATGAAACAAGGTTTATGCCACATATTCCAACAATGTTTAAATAAAGAGCCTGAAATATAAAGGCTTATGAAAATGTATAGTTTTTATATAATACATACTATTTCTAGCTCATGAATAAATATGAACAGGGGCCATTTTTAGATCACAGATCAGCAACATTTAGCATCAATGATTACACAAATCCACAAGCAAACAAAAAAAAAATCCGTTATCTCCATTTTAGTTATAAAAGCTAAAAATCCTTTTGCCACATTTAAGCAATATCCAAGGAGGTGGGGGGACTTGTAGCCACACCCCTGAAAATAAGGGAACCGAGTCTTCAAGTCCCTAAGTTCTTTCTTGGTTAAGAGCGTGGCAACTGCGTGAACTCTTTCAAGAAACAGAAAAACCAAAACAGGTTAAGATCCTGTTCTGTATAATGTGTTTAATAAAGCTACACTGGAGAAATACTCTATTTTTGTCTCAAAAACGTGCTCAGGTGTTATGGTGAGGTTTGAGTTTCTTCTCATCCTGGTATGAACATATGCATAATTTGAATAAATTGACATAATGAATGTTGCAGGACGTTGACTCTTTCCGGTCTTCAAAAGGATTTGCTTCTACTGTTTTAGAAATTATATGTACACTTAAAAATATATGTTTTCTTCGTTAAAAAAAAAAAAATGTGACTCTTAAAAAGTAATCCTTTAAACTCACAGAACTCAAAAGTGAAAGCCTTTCCAGAGAAAGCCCTTACCACATCAATGGAATGTCTTGGTAAGAGGGAAGAAAATCTCCGTCTAAAGATACGGTTCAGTACCAGGAGTGGGAGCCGAGTGAGCTCAGCTCTGCAGAGTCCCATCCAGATTGGGCCAGGGGAGCCGGACTTTCAGCTACGACTTTAACCCGTTAGCCCCTACATGCCACGCCACCGCCTCTTCCTCTCTCTTTTTAACGACTTTGTCTCTGGTTTGGAACTGCAATTCTGCCTCACAAAATGTTTCTCCAAGTAAACATTAATAAAGAAGGCAAAGTGAAAGGGACAAAACTGCCCAGTCCATAAGAAAAACCGGGGTTCCTTCTTTTCTGCTTCAAGGGAGGTGGCCGGACACACCAGGCACCTGCTGAGCACAAGCCCCCGAAGGAGGGTCTGCCCGGGAGCCCCAGTTAGTGTGTATTTAATGTTCTCAAAGGCTAGAACTGAAGGTACCCGAGTAAATATGTTCCCTGCCCTGGGGCAGCCCGCGAGAAGTGTATAAAGGTCTTAGGGCTCTCGGAGTCACTTTTTACTTTCTTTTTTTTTTTTTTAATTTTTTTTTTTTTCCAACGTTTATTTATTTTTGGGACAGAGAGAGACAGAGCATGAACGGGGGAGGGGCAGAGAGAGAGGGAGACACAGAATCAGAAACAGGCTCCAGGCTCTGAGCCATCAGCCCAGAGCCTGACGCGGGGCTCGAACTCACGGACCGCGAGATCGTGACCTGGCTGAAGTCGGACGCTTAACCGACTGCGCCACCCAGGCGCCCCCACTTTTTATTTTCAAAGGAACAAGATGAAGGAGAAAGAGAAGGGAGAATGATTTTTGTTGTCTTTAGAAAAAGAAAGGAAGACACTATGGACCTCTTTCAGAAACCAGAAAACAGGTGCGGCACTAAAGAAAGTGTTTTTTTAAAATGCCAAGCAAGTGTTTTCCATCCAAACCAATCAGGAAGCCCAAGACAGGAAGTATCTGAACAGACATCACCTGAACTGAAGGACAATCTGGGAAATCCGGAAAAATCAATTCTTCAATTCACTCACAACATCTTGCTAAGGAAAACATAATAAAACTGTAACTTACACTGTGCTCTTTCTTTTCCCAAGGACTCTAACAACAGGCTTTGTTGGGGGTTCCAGTGAGAACGACTCTCTTCTTTGCACCCAACTGTGGATGCTGGGATTCGAGCCAGGTGACAGCGTGACTGATGTAAACACACTGACCCTCAAGTCAAGTGATAGCCGCTACTATTTTCTTCATTTGAGCCTCGACATCAGTAGATGTCATATCTCCATTTTACAGACTAGAAATAATAAAACTGGGCTAAAAATCAGAGCAAATTACCAACATTACCTGAGACCAAACCCACGCGGCTAAAAACCCCTCCCGTCAGCAGCAACCTTGCCAGTCTCAAAGCCAAGGTATCACACCATCATGGGTTTAGATATTAATACTTTGTAACAATTCCTCACAAAGGTCAAGCCTTCAAAGGCTTAAAATCACTTATTGTAAGTGAAAGATCCTGCCAAAATAGGAAATTATAAAGCAGTGCAATATTCCAGAGATCTATTTCCTGCACTGTTTACACCTGGAATTGAAAGGGCCAGGTCTCCACGTGTGAAATGTCTTCAGCCGACAAGAAGCAAACGTCCCCAGAAGTTCAGGAACAGTAATACCCTCTTGGAGGCTCCATTCCGTGGTTCCTGCGAGCTTCCCTAGAGCACTCTGCTATTCTCAGCTGTTCGCTGGAGGGCAACAGGTGCTACCGTCCCCTGGAGAAAACAATTCACAGTTCCTGATCTTCTTGCTAGTTTTCTTTAGCAAGAAACGCGCACTTTGCATGCCGTCTTTGATGTCCAAGGGCACTTCCGTGGTAAGGACCAGTGTTTGCATGTCAGTTTGTGGCATTAAACATTTGATGCAGAGCATCCATTGCCAACACACAGCAATGTGCACTAACCCCGTCTTCGGCTGTTGCTCACGCACGCTTCAGAATCTGTGACGAGCCAAGCAGTGAGAAGCAGCGTGAAACACAGGAAGCTTGATTGTTTCGCAAGCAGGCGTTTTCAGAGCGCTGTCTCGTGCAGCCTGGACTTGTCACAAATCCAATTTCTTCAACTGCTCATAGGTCACAAAAAACTGCAGTTATTGGTTGAGGCTGACAACGAAAATGCCATCTGAACAACACTGACACATAAAAACGGACTCACAGCACATCTAACAAGTATGTCTGGGCAGACCACAGGCCATGCACGTGATTAAACACCCGGGACTCGATCCTTATCCGCCCCCAAAGGTCTTCCCATTAGCATTCCCAAGGCCAGCCTGGAACAGAACAATCACAGCTTAGATAACATCAGGGCCCTAGCGTCTGCTCCAAGAGCCTCTTGGAAGATCACGTCCGCGCTGACCAGCTTTGGTGACTGCTGTGCGCAGACTTGCCCAAACAGTAAAATTCTATGTGAAAGTGAAAGACAGCAAGCCCTGGGACACCCTCTCGAGGGTCACCACTAGGCAGGCCTTCAGCAGGGAGGGGCAGGTAAAGAGAAACAGAGATGGTGAAAACCACATTCCCTTCTATGTAATTCTGCCTTTTCGTGTCTAATGAACGGCTACTTCTTTCCTGCCTCCCACTTTGGCATACAGGAAACACTGCTTATCAGCCCAACAATTCAGGAGCTAAATCCTGTTTAACCTCAGGCGCTCTCTAAAATAAGCATTCTACAACAGCGCTGCCAGACCGCATCCTTCCCAACGGTGGCTAAGGATATAAAATCCTCGTCTCTCTCTCTCTCTCTCTCTCTCTCTCTCTCTCTGTAATCGTAAATATTCCCAGCTTCTAAAACAGTCTGAATAGAAGTTTGTATTGATATCATTACCTTTCAATAACACTATCACTATACCAAGATTCACTTGGCCCAGCACAGAGACTTTATACCTTCTAAGACAGAAAGCGAAGTTATTTCTTAGAATCGGAGGAGCTCAAAAGAATACGAACCCACTTCTAAATTATCATTAATAACATGACAGTTTATACAAACAATATTCCTTTCGCTGCACCTTTTTTTCCAGACGTACTGCGACAGAAAAGGATACAATGATATTCCAAGGACCAAGTCTCAACCAATTCGGCCAAAACCCTTTATACAGAGCAAAAAACCCTTCATTCTTCCATGTCTGTTATAAGGGAAGGGGAGGAGGGGGAGACAAAAGTTAACATCTAACTTTCCAATCATGTCAAATGTGTTAATACTCAGTAGGCAGACTGAATGATCAACTTTTCTTAAAAATAAAATCCTGTTCGAAAAGACTGCTTAAAAACTCAGTGCCCTCTGCCTCTTTTTCTTCTTTAAAGGCCTCTGCATGGGAGAAGACGTCCAACCAGCCCACGTCCAAGCAGACAAATGGCAGCGGAATGAATAAGAAGTGGGATTTAATGCCAATTAGAACCTCTCGCCTCCTTGCCACTCGGGCTCACAAGTAGGTCGGAAATAAAGTGAAGCAATGGTGGTAAAGATGTCATTCAGAGCACCACTATTTCACGTCATTAGGTGAATAAAAACAAGTATCTCTGCGTCGGGAAGGCAGACTTGAAGTCTAGGACGGGCCAGCATCACGCCAGACAACAGGAACGGCCAAGCGGCCCCGAACCCCGGGCGGCCGGCAGTCCGGTCAGGGAGACAGACCGCTGCGAACCTCCCCCCTCTCAGGAACAGTAAGCCCCACTGTTTAAACCGAGAATTATTGTCAGAGTGACGTGTTCTTTCGAGAGATGTCTGAATGAAGGATATTCATTCCAGTCTGACTCACGGGGAGGGAGACACATTTTGGAAGGAGACACACAGATATCAGAAAGCATGGCTCTCTTCTCAGCCTGTACAGCAGAGCAGAGGTGTAAAGAAAACGAACTTTCATTTCTAAATATTCGTCTAGATTTTGTATGTATAAAAGTTAGCCCCCGTGTGACCCAAACTGGGTACCATCTCAGGGCTTCACAGAGCATCACTCATGGTAGTTATAATAACCCTCAAAGTTTAGTTACTTCTCAGGTTAAAATATATGCATACATGTATATGTGTGTGTGCATATATATATGTATATATATATATATATATATATATATATGCACACACCCACACACACAGAGATATTCACATGCGTCTGGGGGGCAGTTTCAGTGATTAAAAACAAACCACTAGAATGTTGAAGATTAAGTAAAATAAGCTTGCTTATTTCAACATCAGTGTCTTTCATCATTATGAATTATGCTAACAAGGTTTTACTACGTGAATCCAGGCACTGTGCTCTTTGGTAAGCATTCTCTCGTTTTTACACTAACCCTGTGACACAGGTGCAATTACCGTCCCTCCTCACTAACGAGGAAACTGAGGTATAGAGTCTGCACATCAACCAAAGTCATACAATTACAAGGGACAAGGGTTTTGCTCTAAACCGTTGTGGTTTTGACCATGCTAAGAAACTCTTCAGGGGGTAACATGGAGGCTAATGAGCTGTGACAGGACCCCGCAGCGCTGCACAGGTGACCGCGCCCTCTCACCTGGAACAAGCAGTCCAGGGTACCCTTGTAGCCCGAGCACCTGCCGTCTCGAAGGACTCTCTGATTCATCATACGTGTTCTCACAACATCCACAGGGTTTGAGGCCAGGGCCCCGGCCAGACCACAGGTGAAGCTTGAGCTATGAAAAAGATGCCAACGGAAAAGCAAAAGTTCACCGCCGAGCTGCCACCACCACTAAAGGCAAGAAACAGCATCCTCCCAGACTACGTTAACGTGACATGTGACAAGACGGTACGTTTCCAGGAAGACGCCCATCTCTAAAGCACGGCACAAACTTCTTAAATATAGCACTGATTATAAATTCCAGCCTCAACTAAGAATACCTGTGAGGTTCTGGAAGGTCAATCATAGACACATGAAGGAATGTCATGTGTTAATGAACTCTGGGGCAGAGCTTTTCACGTTGTACAGGTGTATCAAATCATTATGTACACTTTGAATAGCTTACAATTTTGTCCGTTATACCTCAGAAAGCTAAAAACTGAAAATAATAGAAATACAAAGCCAAGTTAGAGAATGCTAATCATGATATTGCTCATGTAATAAAGTACACAATACTTTTGTAGACAGATTTGCATGTGACTAAAAAACGAGCTGTTGACAATGGTTACCCATGTAAACAGACAAGGACTTTCACTTTTTCCTGGTTCACTCCGGAACTATAATTTTCCAAATATGAGAATATAATACCTTTATAATATACCTTCTTTAAAATTTCTATAGATTTGTAGATTGCCACCCTGACCTCACGCATACCTAAAATATTATTTTTTTTGAAATATATAAACATACAGGAGGTGGGTATACACAGTGTCTCCCATCAGGCCCGAGAAAATCAGGTGCTTCTTGGCGAGGTCATAGACCGGGAGCTCCACACCGACGACGATGGCAGCCCTCTGCGCGGTAAGGGACACGCCCTGGGTAAGAAGACGAATAATCAAGACTCAGAGAGCTCTTCCCGGAGTAGGCCTTGCCCAAAAAATGTAGAGTGACAGAGGAGAAAAGACCAGAGGGTAAAGAAGTCAGAAGCTCACGTCCAGTTCCGATTCTGGCGCTAACCGTACGACCTTGGCCAGACGCTGGCCAGGACCAATCACCTCACAGAGGCTCCGGTTTCCTAGTGCATACTGAGAAGACTGTCCTAGATGACCCTTACGGTCTATTCTGTGAACTGACAGGTCAAGAGAATACCAGGAAATGGCACTCCATACCAGCGCTTGCCTAGGAACGGTCTTCACTTAGGGACCAGGAAGACATACACATCACAAAATGCAGGGGCGCCCGGGTGGCTCGGTCGGTTAAGCGTCAGACTCTTGATTTTGGCTCAGGTCGTGATCTCACGGTTTGTGGAATCAAGCCCCACATGGGGCTCTGAGCTGAAAACACGGAGCCTGCTTGGGATTCTCCCTCCCTTCCCCCTCCCAAAGTAATAAGTAAATGAACCTAAAACAAAAATAACCCAGCATTTAACTATAACCTAGAAAACCCTCCTCTATGAGAATCTTTTAAAGAAAAAGTAAACAACAAAGTGCTCAATCTTCTTCATAATTATACATAAATTATTCAAAAGGTATTTTAAAATATGACATATTCCTTATATTTCCACTTTCCAGATGAGGAAATTAAGGAAGAAAGTAACTTCAAGGGCAGACGTCACTTGTCTTCCCTTACTCCATTGCGCCTTTCAGATTAAATAAAATGATAGGAACAGAAAGAATAAATTCAAAGGGAAAAAGGGAAGAACTAAGGCAGCTGGCTCTGTTTTGCAGGCTTACCTTCCACAATCCTCTCGCTCCCTCCTGCTGGTAAATGTTAATGAAGTTGCCTATCATTCCCCCTTGAATGGTGCTGCTCTGGGCTTGCATCCGTATCTAGAGATTATTTTCAAGATTAACATGAGAAGGAAATAGCACATTTCTCCCCAATGTAGACTTCCGAATATCATTCGATCTGTTGTTTAATGACCATTAACAGAAAAGAATCATAGCATAAACACTGCCGTCATGCTAGCTTTAAATGACCTTTGCAGACGAAACATTTTTAAGGTTTGGTTCTTAGGCACTTTGGAATCAACAAAATGCATCCAGTAGAATCCAGAGCTCATTAAGTGTCCAAAAAACCTGATTTTTTTTAAAAAGCCTTTTGAAAAGGAAAGGAAATGACATTATGTCCTTACAGGTTAATAAGTAGGAGAGAGAAGGTGATGGTAATACTAAGATTTCACATAATCAATAGGAGCATCTAGCACATTTCACAGCATGAAGCATGGACAAGCAGATTTCTTAAATTAGTTACTTCAAGCCACTACTATTTCCAACCAGCTGAACCAAAAGGTATGCAGGCGAGCTGAGCACGGGATAACCACATGATGTCCGTCACACTCCGTTACACTTGAATGTACAAATACACTCGAGAACGGCTGTGGAATTCACATGACTGAGATACCAACGTAAAAATAATGTTTGATGTAGCTCTCTGTATTTTTTTAATGTTTACTTATTTTTGACAGAGAGAGAGAGAGAGAGAGAGAGACAGAGCATGAGCAGGGGAGGGGCAGAGAGGGAGACACAGAACCCGAAGCAGGCTCCAGGCTCCGAGCCATCAGCACAGAGCCCGACGCGGGTCTCAAACTCTCGGACTGTGAGATCATGACCTGAGTCCAAGTCAGACACTCAACTGACTGAGCCACGCAGGCGCCCCAGCTCTCTGTATTTTTTTAAAATTAAAAGGGATTTCTCACTAAAAATCGGTACCTTATTTTTATCGAGGGAGCAAAAACATTACCTCCGACTTCTAAAGAAAAGCTGTTACTGCCACGCAAAACACAGGAATGGCCTATCCCTAAGCCCAGCATATGTTTAAGATATTAAAGGGAGTATGGATATTTTTCTCCGCTTTTCCCCAACAAAGGGTAAAATCAAAGCAAAAGCACCTTCACACATGCTGCACCCTGACCGTGCATAAGTGTAACGCCCTCAACACGCTGCTACATAAGGTTCTGACATCTGTCAGAATCCCCTAGTAGACTGAAGGCTCTGAGGGCAGGGTCCTTATCGTACCCATTTTTGGACTCTAAGCACGGAGTACGTCAATTGGCAGAAGGTAGAGGCATAGCGGATGCCGGTTAACTAATAGGAACAAAAAGGAGAGGAAGGGACAGAGACAAACATCTTAAGAGGGATGAAAAAGCAACTCCTGCCTAATTTCTATTTTGTTTAATTAGTTTATTCCCTTGGGGCACCCGGGTGGCTCAGTTGGTTAAGCGTCCGACTTCGGCTCAGGTCATGATCTCGCGGTTCGTGAGTTCAAGCCCTGTGTCAAGCTCTGTGCTGACAGCTCAGAGCCTGGAGCCTGCTTCGGATTCTGTGTCTCCTTCTCTCCCCGCCCCTCCCCCACTCATACTCTGTCTTTCTCTCTGTCTCTCTCTCTCAAAAATAAACATTTAAAAAAAAAAATGTTCAATTAGCTTATTCCCTTGCCTTACTCCAGAAAGGATTTAAGGAGGCAGTTTCCCTGTTATTATCAATAAGATCATCCACCTTACCACACTTATGTCTAACTGTAGTAAGGAAATATTTCCATCACTGTATCCTGAAATCAAGTTAGCAGATAACATCACACGTTCAGAAATAGGTCATTAATGAGTAGACCTGTACAGAACTTGCAGCCTCTCGATTTTTTAATGAACCGATAAAACCAGGGAAGGTTTTCAATGAAAAATGAAATTCACATGTATCCGAGCCTACATTTTTTTTCTGCTTAGTCACCAAAGACCTTGTCTCCACAACAAGCTCTACTTTTGATGTCCTATCAGTGGGAGATCCTCCCTCATGGGAGGGCCTTCATGGCACTCAAACTGCAAACATTTGTTTACAAAACTGTTACATTTGCAGACTTTCATTATCTGAATGTTGTTCCCAGTAAGAAAATGTGGGGGGAGTGTGCCTATCAGATATGGATAGCACTGCTTACTTTCAAAACATCCGTTGGATTAGCGATGGTTGAGGATATGACTCCAGAGAGAATTCCACACACCACATTTATCAGTAGAGTTTCATCTATAAACAAGCACATATTATTCAACTTTTCATTATCAGTAACTCAAACATAGGTGCAAACTCATTGGCATACCTCTTGTATATCTTAAGGGAATAATTAAATTTCTGCTTTATGAATCAAGCCATTTTTAAAATGTTAGGAATTCTGCTGGCTTATCAGGACTTTGCCTAGCAAAATCACTTGACATCTATTTGCTCTCGATTTGTTTTTGTTTTTGAAAAATATTTACTTATTTATTTAAGTGATCTCTACACCCAGTATGGGGCTTGAACTCATGACCCAGAGATCAAGAGTCGCACACTCTTCCGACTGAGCCAGCCAGGCGCCCCAAACTTACTTGACATCTAAAAAGGGACGTGAAGTATCATGCAAAGTGAGCAGCCATCTGCCAATTCACTTTTATGTGTAAATGCGTATCACTGTACTAAGATGAAGTATATCTCATAAGAGAACAAAAAAGATACACTCCGGGGCACCTGGGTGGCTCAGTCGATTAAGCACCCGACTTCGGCTCAGGTCATGATCTCACGGCTCGTGAGTTCGAGCCCCGCGTCGGGCTCTGTGCTGACAGCTCGGAGCCTGGAACCTCTTTCGGATTCTGTCTCCCTCTCTCTCTGCCCCTCCACCACCTGCACTCTGTCTCTCTCTCTCAAATATAAATAAGCATTAAAAATCTTTAAATAAAATAACATAAAAGTAAATTTAAAAAAAAAGATACAGTCCTATGAGATAACCATGAAGATAAAGTTTTAAAGCACACCATATATATTTAATTTGAAGTGTACTAAAGTGCTAAAGCATCTCAGCCCCTGCTGACCACTCTCACGCAACAGTCAGCTGGCGCTCAAGAATTCAGTTCTTAATACTATGAAAGGTATTCACTGCTTTCCTGAAAAAAATCCTGATTTTAGAAAATTTTAAGTGGGCTAGAACTATAACAACATATCCTCTAGTCTAGGAGTTCTGGAGATGAGGATAACTAAAATATTTGTAGAGATTGCTCCTTTTAACTGCTGTTCCCCTTACTTCAGCCAAGAACTGACTTGCTTTGGGGTACCTGGGTGGCTCGGTCGGTTAAGCGTCCGACTTTGGTTCAGGTCCTGATCTCACGGTTCGTGAGTTCAAGCCCCGCATCAGGCTCTGCGCTGAACAGCTCAGAGCCTGGAACCTGCTTCAGATTCTGTGTCTCCCTCTCTCTTCCCCTTCCCCTGCTTGCGTGTGTGCATGTGTGCACACACTTGCGCTCTCCCTCTGTCAAAAATAAATAAACATTAAGAAAAAAAAAAAGAACTGACTTACCTTAAGCGCGGTTCATTCAGACTTTATACCCAGAGTTCTCTTCAGCAGTAAAGTCACGATTAGGCTCAAGAAAATCTGATCTTGACTAAAAAAGTCACACAACCAACCCACCTCCTGTCCACAAGGAGAGAAAAGATTCTTCACTCACCTTCTGGGTGTTCAACAAACAGTCGCTTCAAGCTCTGGTAAGTGCCTATCTTGATGGTGCCATAGGAAGCCTGGCGTAACATCGCAGGGGCAATCCTGTCAAACCAATGGACAAGAGCCCAAGAAATTCTAAAAACCAGGCACCTGGGTGGCTCAGTTGTTAAGCTCCTGACTTCGGTATACGGCATGATCTCAGTTCATGAGTTCAAGTCCCCCATCTGATGAGCTCAAAACCCCACTTTGGGTGAGCCCTGTTTCTCTCCCTCCCCGCCACTCTCTCTCTCTCTCTCTCTCTGCCTCTCACTCACTTGTGCCCTCTCAAAAAAAAAAAGAAAAGAAATTCTAAAAAGCACTTTAAATCCTCTACAAGACACACACACACACAGATAGTGGCCTTCCATAATCAATCTACGCTCAAGCCGATTTCTCGAAATTCAAAATCTAACAAAAATATAGTGGGGTTCCGTAAAATGTGTGCAAATTAAGAGTTCACTAAGTGAAAGTTCAGCCCCCTGTAGTTATCCTTAATGAAAATGTAAGTGAACACGGAGTTCTATTCAAATGAAAGGGCTGTCCTTTCTCGGGACAAAGCGCCTCGAGAAATCTGCCCTCGGCAAGCATCTATCCCTCTTCAGCTGCGGCTCTAGAGTTCAATTCTCACCTCCTCGGAGGCCCTGCCCCAGTTATTTCCTCTCCCTCTCTTGGCCATCCTGAGCCCAGAACCACCCTGGGGCAGTTATCTGCCCCAGCTGGTCCTCCTCGTCCCTCTCCCCTCGACATCAAAACTCCCCTCAGCAAGGTGACCAACTGACATCGCTGTCACTGCATCAAATGATGTGTTTCACTTAGTATCTTACATAACCTCTCCGCGGTGCTTGCTGCCGTCCGCCCTTTGTCCTCCGTGCTGCGGTCTCCTCCCTGAGCTCCGTTACATCCCCCTCTCCCGTTTCTTCCCTTTTCTCTACAGCCTCCCTACCTCTGTTTCCTGGGGTGTTCTGGGGAACTCTGTCCTAGGCTCTCTCTTCCCTCCCCGCTCCACGCGCTCCCCGGGTGAGCTCTTCTGCTCCCATGGCTTCTACCACTGTCCAAGACTGACGACTCCGAAATTCCTGCTTCCTGCATCGATCCAACGATGCATTTCCAACTGCCTCGTAGATGTCTCAATTCGCATGTCCCACACCCACCCCCAGATCCAGTGTCCCACACAGAGCTAAGTGTCCTCCCGCCCCAACCAATCGGCTCTCCTCTTTGTTTCCTGACCCAGAAAATGGAACCTCCATCAACACCTTGGCTGAAAACCAGAAATCAAGACGTTAGCCTTGTCCCCTGCTTCCTCCACACCCCCTCGTCTATTAGGTCACGTATCAGGTCAACCCTATGCCCTAAACAAGCTCTCTTCTTTCTCTCTGTCCCCAAGACAATCCCTCTGTTCAGAAAATCGTTGTTTCTGCTTCCTGCACGACAGCCTTTTTCCAGCATTGTCAGTTCTCATTCTTTCTCCCTACGGCAGCCTGGCTTCTTTTTACCACCGAAACCCTATCATGTCAGTCCCCCTACTGAAAACCCCCCAGCACCTTCTGCCCGCCACAGGCACAGCAAACTCAAGCGCTTATGGGCACCGAGCGGGCTGGGTCTCATGCACCCTCGCACGTCCTGCGAGCGGCAGAGGTTTTGGTAAACCAGAGAAGGCACCCTCGACGCCTGTGGCCGTTATCCTAAGTGAATGGACACGTGCCCAGATGTTGACTTTTCTCAAGAAAATGGACTCCCCGGTTTCCACGTGCAATTTCTCATAGTTTAAAATATCAGCTCGAGTGAGAAACAAAAACCTTGACTGGTAGGTAGGAGGGCTGTGAGGCACCCATTTGGGACCTGTGGTGTGCTAGAGGAAATCAGGATGCTTAGCGTGTCCTGAGGCCGTCCGTGTCCTGACCCCTTATTACGGCTCCAACTCCAGCTCTTGCTACTCAACAACTCCAGCACTATACCTACGCCGAATTACTCGCATGTCATTACTAGAATGTACCACGCTTTCTTGTGCGTACTGCTGACTTTGTATAAACACGGTCCCCCCTCCTTTTTGTTTTGTAAGTAGGCTCCACGGCTACTTAAAAGCCCCAGTGTGGGGCTTGAACTCACAACCCTGAGATCAAGACCTGAGCTAAGATCAAGAGTCAGCTGCTTAACCAACTGAGCCACCCAGGCTCCCCAGTACAGTTCCCTTCTAACTTCGCCTGGCGAACGCACTCTTCTTGACCCTTCAAGCTCAGACCCAGCACGCCTGGGGTCAAGCAGCCTTCCTGAAGCCCACCCCCTCCCCTGCCCCCACCGTCTGGGCTCGATGCCCGGCCTCTACCAGGCTCTAGTACTCGTTATCAGACTCCACTGTAATCCCGTTGACACACCTACAGCCCCCCACTAACCGACAGCCCCTTCATGCCTGTGTGTTGCTGCTGACCCCATTTGTCCCCCGGATCCAGTCTCACCCTTCTCTGTGATGCTCTGCGCCCTGAGAGGGTGGTGCCCATGGGTCACATCACTCAGGCTCCCCTGCCAGCTGACTTCAGGGGGGATTCCACCAGTAGATGATGCGAGGGAGGGAGGAGGGGGAAGAGGTATTCTCTCCCTGGCCACTCCCAAAGCATCCCTCAACAACTTCTGTTTGCTCCTTCCAGACGCCAGCCCTACCAGGCTGTTAACACCATTCCTGTCCTTGTCCCTCTGGGCCTAGGGTTGGTAACAATTTCTCACTTTGCTAGTTTCTAGGTGCCTCAATATCCTTTCTTTGTTCCCTTAACCCGTAAGTAGCCCCTTCATTAAAGTCTCCCCATAGAGGGGCGCCTGGGTGGCTCAGTCAGTTAAGCGCTGACTTCGGCTCAGGTCACGATCTCACAGTACATGAGTTCGGGCCCCACGTCAGGCTCTGGGCTAACAGCTCAGAGCCTGGAGCCTGCCTCAGATTCTGTGTCTCCCTCTCTCTCTGCCCCTCCCCTGCTCGCACTCTGTGTGTGTCTCTCTCTCAAAAATAAAATAAACAGGGGCGCCTGGGTGGCGCAGTCGGTTAAGCGTCCGACTTCAGCCAGGTCACGATCTTGCGGTCCGTGAGTTCGAGCCCCGCGTCGGGCTCTGGGCTGATGGCTCAGAGCCTGGAGCCTGTTTCCGATTCTGTGTCTCCCCCTCTCTCTCTGCCCCTCGCCCGTTCATGCTCTGTCTCTCTCTGTCCCAAAAATAAATAAAAACGTTGAAAAAAAAATTTTTTAAATAAAATAAACATTAAAAAATTTTTGAAGTCCCCTCATAGAAACCACCCAAGTGAATTCTGTTTCCTGCAGGGACCCGGGCTCCCATAGGCACCTGTCTCACTCGCTTTCCCAGCCCACACCTTCAGCACACTGTTCACTAAATGCTGAATTACAGAAAAGTGGTTCACAACACTTACCCACGGAGACTACTCTACCGTTTTCACTATAGCAAAAACCTTGGTAATTCAGAATAGCCAAGGGGAAGGGTTTTCAGAGTGACATGGTGAATTATGGAATGTTTGGTGGCAACAAATGTAAATTTTGCATGATTAGCTGTATTTGAATACAATAAAAAAAAATACTTCCAACACAATGTTCGCTACATAAAAGGTATGTAGAAAATAAGGTTGAAATGAAAAATGAAAAATCTACCAAGCTACTTGCTCTTTTCAAATACACTTCAAATGTCTAACTTTTTCTCTATGAAGTCTTCAATTTCAGTTGATTCATTTAACAGGTCAATAGTCCAATATAAACGCACAAAGGTCTACTTACCCTGAATACAGGGCTCTCAGCCCTTCTTCTCTGCCTATCCGCACTAAGGCGTGCAACATTCCTCGATACCGGATTTCTCTAAAGTTTGCGTCATTTGTCTGGCCTTGAATCTGGAGCCGTGTCTTGGTTAAATCAATTGGAAAAGTACCTTAAAGTTTTTAAAAAAAGAAATATTTCACTTGATAAAAAGAAATTCCACCAAATAAAGAATACATGGTGATATATTCCTGAGAAAGTATTTCGACTGTAATGTAAACTAAGAAACAGAATTAAGAAATGGCAGATACTTTGCAATCTTTTTTCTATTAAAAAAAAATTAGAGGGGTGCCAGGTGGCTCAGTTGGTTAAGCATCCAACTCTTGGTTTTTTTTTTTCATTTTTTTTAATGTTTTATTTATTCTTGAGAAAGAGAGAGACACAGAGCATGAGTGAGGGAGGGGCAGAGAGAGAGGGAGATACAGAATCCAAAGCAGGTTCCAGGCTCTGAGCTGTCAGCACTAAGCCCGACGCGGGGCTCGAACTCACAAGCAGTGAGATCATGACCTGAGCTGAAGTCGGACACTTAACCAACGGAGCCACCCAGGCACCCCAAGCATCCAA